AACCGGTAGCGGGGGCTGCCGCAGCGTTGCCCGTCCAGGCGGCGATAGTTGAAGTGGGCTCGGTGGAGCAGGTGGAGCAGGTGGGAAACCTGCATGTTTCCATTCATCTTTAATTTTTGATGATTGATTTTAATATATAACATAACAGCCACTACTCTGTGTTAGCTGTCTAAGAAAGTTAGAGCGGGAATTTTCAAGGTGTCACAGGCCTGGGACCAAAACGTGATGTAGAAATGGAGCAGAGACCCCTAGTGTACATACGATATAAACCTGCCTTGTTGTTTTATGTTTCATGTATGAACGTACACGGCTGAAAAGAAAAATAATTTTTTAAAAGAAATCACCAAAAAATTCACTATCACGCTGCGGTATCTGTATGGACCCTGTAGGGGTCGCTGACACCCTGGGTTGGTCCATGTCTTTCTCTTGCTCGGAATATCGTGGCAAGTGCAAAGCAACATGGACCAGTGAACAGGATCAGCTGTGTGTGAACAGAGGAAGTGTGAATGAGGTGTAGATGAGTGAGTGAAAGACTGTGAACCCGTGAACCTGCTGCTGGTGAGTGTCACGTTCTCACACGGTTTGTCTCAGCCCAGGGGTTTGTTTTTTTTCAGACCCTCTGTGTTTCTAACTCTCTGCAGAATCAGAACCCCGCCCCCAACACCACCCAGGTGAGGAAGAACCACGCCTGCGAGGCGTGCGGCAAAGCCTTCAGAGACGTCTACCACCTCAACCGCCACCGGCTCTCGCACTCCGACGAGAAACCCTACTCCTGCCCCATCTGCCAGCAGCGCTTTAAGAGGAAAGATCGCATGAGCTACCACGTGCGCTCGCACCAAGGCGGCGTGGAGAAACCGTACGTGTGTCCGCACTGTGCCAAGGCGTTCTCCAGGTGAGGCCCCGACCCGCCGCTCCTCAGGGACTCTGTCTAAAATAGGAGAAAAGGGACTTAACAAAACTTCCTCTGTGTTCTGTGTTCTCAGACCAGACCACCTCAACAGTCACGTTCGACAGGTTCACTCCACAGAGAGACCCTTCAAGTGCACGGTAACGCCCCCTTCTGTCTGTCAGCAGTATTTCACCTGACTCTGTAAATGTTAATTTAAAATTTAAAATTATTTCTGTATGAACAGATGTACATTTTAACATTTTACTGCAAACAACATGGTTCATTTTGGAAACCATTTTTCTCTGTTCTATCAAACATTAATGTCATAAAATAAAAGTTAAGTTTTGATCTAATTATGATCAGACTTTCGTCAGTGGTGCTCCGGTGAGAATACACTTCAGCTCTTCAGTGGTTATTAATAATGTTTTTTTTATCAGGTCTGATGTTTTTAATAGTCTTTCAAAGGTGTCATGTTGTTAGAGGAGACTCACGTCCTCCTGTGTGTCTTCACCTCTCCTGCAGACGTGCACGTCAGCGTTTGCCACGCGGGATCGCCTGCGTGCTCATCTGATCCGCCATGAGGAAAAGGTTCCGTGTCACATCTGTGGGAAGCTGCTCTCTGCTGCCTACATCACTGATCACATGAGGGTCCACAACCAATCCCAGCACCACGCCTGTCACCTCTGCAACCGCAGTGAGTCTCGGCAGATTCACACTAACAGTTGATTCACTTCAGCAGGTGTTTTCACCAGTCTGTGTCAACGCCAGAGGTTTCATCAGAAAATTGATATTCGCCTCAACTGAAGTGAAGCCGAAAGTTAAACATGTTAAACACATCAGACAGTGAACAGATGCTATAGATTTAAGCCGATGTAGGTTTTATTTAGGGATGTCCGATAATATCCGCAGATGAATATTATCAGCCCCGATATTAGCATAATTATGTAATAGCTGTAAGAATCGTTATAATGTTTTTCTCTGATAATGAAAACCCAATAATGCCAAGCCTGGCATTTGTGCCCTAAAATAGTTTTGGGGAAAAATGGCTGTATATTAAGATGAAAGCCACTAGATGGCAGCATTGCAGCTCATTTTATTAATCTATTTTAATAATCAGAGGATTGTATGCAGAATGCTGGTTAATATCAGACATCCCCAGTTTTATTACCTTAGTCTTTTGTTGACCTTAGTCTCAAAAATGACTCCTGTCACTGTTGGCAGCCATGTTTTCAGCTGTGTGTCCGTCCTCCAGGCTTCACCACGCTCACCTACCTGCGTGTACATGCTCAGAAACACCACGGTCAGGAGTGGAAGGACAGCGGCGGAGTGCGGGGGATTTTTGGCGGGACAGGCGCCGGTGGCGTGCTGCTGTGCCAGCTGTGCGGCGTTCAGTGTAAGACGGCCACACAACTGCAGGGCCACATGGGCACGCATGCCAACCAAAGCCAGAACGATGCTGCCAACACGGACTCCACCGGGGGCACTACTGTCAGCGTGACTGTGACTGCGGGGTCAAGTGACGATGCCACCAGCACAGTGGGACTGCTGGTCACCGACTGCTCCAGTATCGCCGCCCAGCCTCACAGCTAGCACAGGGGCGGGGCCGAGGGTCACGGAGGCAGGGGCAGTTTGGGTGCAAAGAGGAAAAAAGGAGGAGCCGAGTGAACAGCGGCCTCAGCAGGTGCGTGAACTGCATTAACGTTGGATATCTCTTTTTTTTTCTTCTTCTCTGACAGTGTTTGTTCTAGTCTTCGTTGGTGATCAGAATGAAAATAATCAGACAAATTTGTCACAACTTGGTAATCAAATTAATTCAGTTCAATTAAAAAAATGTTTAAATTAAATTAAATTTTAAATTACTGCCACCTACAGTCTGGGGTGTGTACATCAGTGTTGGTGGAGCACTAGAAATGAGAAAACTAAGAGAAGGAGTGATTAAATATGGTAGTTCTGTCTGTAATTAAATCATTAGGTTTTACAGTCCCAGCTGTCTGTGATTCAGCAACAAACACTTCAGTCTGGGCCCTGGTCTGAAATAACGTTTTTTGTCTGCTCTGTCTCGTTCCAGTTTTTACTCAACAGTCATCTTCTCTGCACCTTCTTCCAAAAAACACAAGTCCTGCTCCTACAGAGCCAAGAACTGATGCTAGTTCCATGTTAGTTCCAGAGGACCAATCAATGGCTGGAAACACAGAGGAGAGGGAACCGATTAGTTCTTCAGAGAAAGAACAGTTCAGCTTTTTTACCTCTTCTGTAAGGTACCGACTGAGTCACAGTCCAGACTGACTTCTGACGCCTTAAACCAGCCGTAGACCCACACGGCCTGGTTCTGAACTGATGGTTGCCAGGAGTCATGAGGGAACTGAGGTCAGATTTAATCGGTGTGCTCAGCCGCAGTTAGACAGACATTTACAACAAGAAGACTGAAGTTTGTAAACCAATCACTCTGCCTGACAGTCAGATAGGACAGAGCACAGACAGTTAAGATGTTCACAGTGCACTCTATCATAAAATCACCCTTCACAACTGAAGGAACTTGTCTTTTTAAGAGAAAAATAACCTGTATTTTTACTGACATGGCTTTGCAGTTTGTTGTTTCTAGATCATGGTTTAGAATTTTTGTAAAGTTCTTTGAAAGGTTATATATACATATATACATATACATATATATATATGTATATTCCTTTGTGTAGATTCTCTGATGCTCCACAGAGTTTTTCTTTTTTTCTCTCTCTTAACACTGATTTGTTGTAAAAAATCTTCTGTGACTTTTTTCCCCCGTGGCTGTGCAAACTGATGGCACGTCCATGTGCGGTGCGAACAGCTCACATTGTCGCTTGTGTAATAAAGGCAGTGAGGCTGCTCTGTGAATGGAGCTGTATCGGTGATGGGGGGCAGGGACGGGGGAGGGGGCCGTTTACAGGTCCGCACTGTGGGTATTTTATTGAGGTGTGAAGTGACAGGTGTCAGAATCACCACCTCACAATCTGAGACTGTTGAACCAGAGCGGACCTTCTTCTTCTGGGGCTCTTTGTCACGAGTGTGGGTCTTGTCTTCCGCCACTGTACAATGCATCCTAATAAAAACAGTTTTTTGGTGCCTTACTGCCACCCACAGGCTGGAGTAGTTGCATCAGTGTTAACATTGTCAATGGATTATTTTTGAATGTTGTAAATACTAATGGAATGTAAATATTTATTTGAAATTAGAACATTAAAGTTCCCCCAATAACTGTATGTTATGGGCATAATACTACAACTATTACTACAACCACTACTACTACTGCGACTGCTACTGCTACTAATACTAATAGTAGTAGTACTGGTTAAAGTTTCTCAGATGACAGTAAGGCTATCACAGGTCACGCTGGTCTTGACTAATGCTTAAATTTTGATTGTAACTTGTCATTTTTGTCAATTTTATGAAAGACAAAAAAGAAAGATTTGAATAAAAAATAAAAATTTAAGACTGTGGCGAACGGCTTTTTAAAGAACATCTTTCCTACGGGCGCCATCTTGTTTTCCGCATCCAGCTCCGTTTTTATGGATATGACGTCATGTATTGTCATCAGCTGAAGATAAATGGAACGCAGCCCGTGGCTTTTTGTTTACAGCCAGCGTCGCCCCTCCCCCTTATTCTTTCTCCCCCCTGTTCCTCCTCCTACCCCCCCTCCTCCTCTTCCTCGTCAGTAAACCGCTGTTAGATTCCATATGGGAGCACGGCTGATTTATTGGGAAACGGGTCGATTCTTACAGAATCCCTGCAAATGAGAAAATAATCAAAAAAAACACACACACAAAAACAACGCCCTGCGCCGCCTGCAGGGGACGCTGCTCCCTTCTCGGCCTGACCGGCTTTGTGACGCCATGGACCGTGAGCTCAGTGGCTGACGACCCGCTGCTCCAGGAGGGGAAGCCGGGGAAAGGCTCCTCAAAGCGGTGAACAACGTTCCAGGCTCAGTTTGGTCCATCGTCGGACTGTGCTGCGAGTCGTCGTAGGTGAGATGCGTGTGATAATACTGACCTGAGTGTTAGTTTTGTTTTCTAATTGTTCTAGAATGTCTAGAATCTTTGTTGTTTAAATGTGGGTCAGCGTTAGCCTAAACAGCTGCTGGTTAGCATCGGAGCTAACTGCCTGCAGAAATTTGTTTTCATTACACAAGCACAGAGATAAGAATACACGATTACACAAGCAACGAATTTGGTGTTAAATTGGTTAAAATGTTTGACGTCAAAATAATACTTAAACGGGTTATAACGACGTTTTTATTTCATTCTTTTGGCAGATTTTCGACGGCGCTAGTCGTTAGCTGCTAATATCTCGGAATTCCAGAAAAAAAAGTCAACAGTTCTGACTTAGATTTTATGAGTGCGTGACATTTAACAGAACACTGAGGGGATGAACCTGATTTTAAAAGGAGAAGAAGAAATTGACAATAATTATTGAATTATTCCGAATGTTGAAAATCTAGATAAAACAGTAAATGCGATCAGTGGTACCTGGAATTCTGCCTCGGATTCCGGTTTTTCTCTCAGATTCCTGATTATTTATGTCCACATTGTAACAAAAAGATAGACAGACTTCACCAGTGTCTGTTGAATTATTATTATTATTGGTCACTGTTTTTTTTTATTAAAGGGTTAAACGGTGGTCAAAATAGATCCAAAGCCATACTGTGTTTGCAGCGCCCCTACTGGTCCAGAATTTACGTCAGACAAGATTTAAGGAGAACATTTTAACCAAAGGAATTCTATATCCAAAAAAATAATTTGAAGTGATCTGTAGTTATACTTCATGTACTGTGTTTGATGCCAATGTATTTTGTCAGTCATGTTAGGTATCGTGTCCATTATGACCAGTCAGTAGTTTCTGGTATCTCTGGTCACTGGTCAGTTGATTCAGGTCTCACTCGTCACCAACTTTGAGATGATTTTTTTTTACAATGTTCGTTCTTTTCATGAAGGGTGATGAGGATGGTGAGGATGACCGGTCATGCTACTCAGTGAGGGTCCGTGTTTTCTTAGCCTAGCTCCTGAGCCACTGCACCAGCAGCAGTAGCCAGGGGTCGCTCTGACCAAGCGGACACTTTGAGGTGAGGTGAACACGTTTCCCGCCGGCTTCCGGCTCCTTGTTTTCAGCAGAATAACGGCTCCACCGACACATTTTTGCTCCCCAGGGTTGGGTGGTGGCAGGATGGCGTTTCACGGCACGGGTCGACAGAACGTCTGTGGAGATCTGTTTCCTGGCTCTGACCTCAGTCACAAGTATTTCTGCGTCAACTCCTCCTGCGGCGCTCCCTCCACAGGCCTCAGCGCCACTCCGTGTCTGACTGGACCCAACGCTCCGGCTGGGACCCCCCGTCACCCTACAGCTCTTGGAGGAAGTGCGGGAGGTGGAGCAGCGGTGCCTCAGCCTTACACTAACCCTGCCAGTGAGGTTCCCAGCCCGGCAGAGATGGAGCCAGACCGGCCCATTGGCTACGGCGCGTTTGGTGTCGTCTGGTGAGATTCGCGTCGTAAAACATCAACTACTTTGACCCAGTGTTTGATGTCAGTTACCCATCATGCAGTGATGTTAACCTAAGATATAAACAGAGACCGGCCCATTGGCTACGGCGCGTTTGGTGTCGTCTGGTGAGATTCGCGTCGTAAAACATCAACTACTTTGACCCAGTGTTTGATGTCAGTTACCCATCATGCAGTGATGTTAACCTAAGATATAAACAGGAAACTGTGATTCATAAATGTCACAGATGATAAATAGACACGTATGTTTGTGAACAGTTGGATTTGAATGTTGCACAGTTCAGTTCAGAGAGATTTTGAGGAGTAAAACGTCTGCGTCTCCGTCTTGCAGGTCAGTGACCGACCCCCGAGATGGTCGAAAGGTGGCTCTGAAGAAGATGCCCAATGTCTTCCAGAACCTGGTCTCCTGTAAGAGGGTCTTCAGAGAACTGCGCATGCTCTGCTTCTTCAAACACGACAACGTGAGGAGAGGGTGACACAGGGTGGGATTTAATATACTTAAATATAAATATATCTGAGAGTTTGTTTTTTTTTTTCTCTGTCCTCACAGGTTTTATCAGCGCTGGACATTTTACAGCCTCCACAGATAGACTGCTTCGAGGAAATGTATCCTTGTTTGTGAGAAACAGAAGTCCATTGAGATAAATCAGGAAAATAGAAAAACAGTGATAACAGTCTGGACACAGTGTGTGTGTGTGTGTGTGTGTGGTTTCCAAACCTAGGTTTCTGTTGGTGAAGTCTGTGTGACAGTGAGGCAGAGACATGAACAGCCTCTTCAGTCATCGTTCTAGATTCTCCTCATCAGTCCAGGCCACTGTCCTGGTTTTCTTTCTCTTTTTAATTTGCCTCATTTCCTGTGCTCTCCTCTCTTCTGTCACAGCGTTGTTCTCAGTCTGCGTAGAACTCTTTTCTCCGTGAGTTTCTGTTTTTTTTTCTTGACTGTAAACTGGTCCACAGCTACGTGATCACAGAGTTGATGCAGAGCGACCTCCATAAGGTCATCGTGTCCCCTCAGCCCCTCACCACAGACCACATCAAGGTCTTCCTCTACCAGATCCTCAGAGGTGAGCGCCCCCTCTGTTTGATGACCAACAGTTGTTGTTGACTTTTGAACTCAAACTGATGAAAATCTGTCTAGATATTTTGTGACTGTGGTGTCTGTTTCAGGTCTGAAGTACCTTCACTCTGCTGGGATCCTGCACAGAGACATCAAACCTGGAAACCTGCTGGTCAACAGCAACTGTCTGCTGAAGGTAAACCTCAGACGAAGACCACGTCTCTGAGGGACCAGAGAGAATCCAGACCAGTGCTGGGTTCTCCTCCTCTGCAGCTCAAACTCTTCTCTTCCTTCTCTCTGTCTTTGATCAGATCTGTGACTTCGGGCTGGCGCGCGTGGAGGAGCCTGACCCGTCACGTCACATGACCCAGGAGGTGGTGACCCAGTACTACCGAGCGCCCGAGGTACTGATGGGTTGCCGGCACTACGGCTCGGCCATCGACGTCTGGTCAGTGGGCTGCATCTTTGCAGAGCTGCTGGGAAGACGTATCCTGTTCCAGGCTCAGAGTCCAATTCAGCAGGTGAGTCCTTTAGATTGTTGCTGGTCAAAGGTTTCTCGGCCACTTTGAGCAAGGCATCAGATAATACTATGCTTTTTCCGTGCTGACTGTCACGTGCCTGGTTTTATTATCATTATATATTGTCAGCCGTCGTGTTCTGTCTGACCTCCTTCCTTCCCTCTGGTTTCTCCTCCTGCTCATCAGCTGGACCTGATCACAGACCTGCTGGGAACTCCGCCCCTCTCCGCCTTGGCCTCCGCCTGTGAAGGAGCACGAGCCCACATACTCAGGGGGCCTCACAAACCGGTATCCGCTGACGTTGAACTGTTTTTCATCTATTATTTCTACCCTTTGAAGCTCGTCCTGCTGTTTAAAAAAT